GAAGTTGAGAGTTAATGTTTATGGAAACATTAATTCGATTCTATTGTTGATTAAAAATGTAAGCAAAAAAAAAAAAACGGGTCGGGTTGTTTCAGTTGGAAGAGTTGAAGGAACAAGAGCTGTTAGGTGAAGAAGAGATGGTAGACATCCTAAATCTGGAGAATGATGACTAATAGAGGAGAGCTCGATGAGTGTGATTGTTAGAGAGCTTAATCCGGCGGTTTACAAAGTTGGAGGCTTGGTAAAGGCTCTCCCTCTGATATGGGGACTAGAGGACTGGGTTCAAGGTGGAGGAGTGGGAGATAACAGAGTGCAGTTCATCTTTCAAAATGGAAATGATCTTCAGTATGTTCTATCGAGAGGACCTTGGTTTGTAAATGGGTGGATAGTGGCTCTGAATCAATGGTGTCCAAATCCATATAGAAGTTTCCTCAACCAGATTCCATTCTGGATCCGTATACGAGGGTTTCCTATTCACCTGTTGAAGAAACAAGCTATTGAATCATTGGTTAAGCCACTAGGCCATGTAGACAAGGTTGAGATTCATGCTAAAAACTCTTAACTCTTTAGAGTATGTGAGAGTTCATGTTTGGGTAAAGGCGGAGGAGCCCTTACAGTTCAGAATGCTAGCTAGACTTAGCACGGGTGAGGTCATACCGACAGAGTTAGAGTATGATAAGCTATTGAAAGTCTGTTTTCTATGTAAAATACTTACCCATGACCAATCTGCTTGTCCTGAGAAAATACGAGAGGATGTTGCAGCTAAGAAGAATCCAAGCCTCAACATCACATGCTAAGATAGTATATAAAGGGAATAGTAGAGAGGTTCTGGCAGATGTAGACAATGAGGCTGATCTCAACTCTACGAAGCTCTGGGCAAGTAAAAAGACTCAATCTGACCCTACCTTAGGACAGCATATGGGGAAGGCGAAGCAGAAATGGGTTGTTGTAGAGGAGGAGGAAGCTCCAAACGCACAGGCGAATCCATATGTACTCCGAGACCAGGGAGTAAGGGTAAAGGCAAAGAGGAAACCTGCACCAGGCAAGAGCAGTCAGACTTGAGTGGAGAATCACTCTACACCACCTCAGTCTTTGAAAGACTAGGGCAGGCTAAGGCTCTATAGGGTTCGGATACTAAAAGAGACTACATTTAAACCCTAAGGATGACTGCAAGATCGGGCAGCTCTGGTAAGAAAGAAACTGGTTCTGGTGGCAAGCATCAAATGAGGAAAGTAATCACTCCACCTTCAGTTTTTGAGAGACTATGATCGGGTTTGGAAGTATGGATTCAAAAGGATTTGGAAGTTCGAAACAACCTGCTAACAAGAGAAGAAGAATTGAGCAAAGTGATGAAAAAATCCATAAGAAGGTGAGAAAATGGAGCACAAAAAAAGCATCAGGGAATCAGTCGGTGTTTCAGAGACTAGGAACACAGGCCTTAGCCAGAAAATCAGGGGATCTCTTTGATCTGGAACATTCTGCTTCAATAGCAACTCACTCTCCAAACCAATTTGCTTTGTCTAAAGCTGTTGATGAGGAGC